CTCAGTCAGTTAAGCATCTGCCTTCAGCTCAGGTCATGATCCCCGGGTCCTGGGATCGAGTCCCACATCGGGCTCCTTGCTGAGCAAGGAGCCTGCTTCTCCCTCTGCCTGCCTCTGTCTCTCTCTCTCTGATAAAATAAAATAAAATCTTAAAAAACAAACAAACAAACAAACAAAAACTATACTACAAAGCAAGTAAGTAATCAAAGTAATCAACACAGTATGGTACTGGCAGGAAATAGACACACAGATCAATGGAACTGAATAGAGAGACCAGAAATAAACCCACATTTATGGGGTCAATGAATCTATAACATAGAAGGCAAGAATATCCAATGGGGGAAAAGACAGTCTCTTCAACAGATGGTGTTGGGAAAATTGGATAGCCACATGCAGAAGAATGAGACTGGACCACTTTCTTACACCATCCACAAAAATAAATGCAAAATGGATGAAAGACCTAAATGTTGAGACCCGAAGCCATAAAACTCCCAGAGGAGAACACAGGCAGTAAGTTCTCTGACATAGGTCTCAGCAATATTTTTTGGACCAGTCTCCTCAGGCAAGGGCAACAAAAGCCAAAATGAGACTGCATCAAGCTAAAAAGCTTGTGCACAGGAAGGAACTATCAACAAAACATAAAGGCAGCAGCCTACTGAAAGGGAAAAGATATCTGCGAATCACACAACCAAATAGGGGTTAATATCCAAAATATATAAAGAACATGTACAATAAAAAAAACCCCCAAAAACCCAACAGGGCGCCTGTGTGGCTCAGTCGTTAAGCGTCTGCCTTTGGCTCAGGTCATGATCCCAAGGTTCTGGGATCGAGCCCCATATCAGGTTCCCTGCTTCTCCCTCTCCCACTCCCCCTGCTTGTGTTCTTGCTATCTCTCTGTCAAATAAATAAATAAAATCTTAAAAAAAAAAAAACCCCAACAACAAATACCGTGATTTAAAAATTGGCAGAGGATTTGAATAGATATTTCTCCAAAGAAGATGTCCAGATGGCCAACAGACACATGAAAAGATGCTCCACATCACTCATCATCAGGGAAATACAAATCAAAACCACAATGAGATACCACCTCACACCTGTCAGAATTGCTAATATCAAAAAGAAAAAAATATTATGACAAGTGTTGGCAAGGACGTGGAGAAATTGGGACACTTGTGCAATGTTGGTGGGAACACAAATTGGTGCAGCCACTCCATGGAGTGGAGGTTCCTTGAGAAACTACAAAACAGATTGTAAAAAATCTAAAACCCAAAACACAACATGGCAACAGCTTCAAAGATAAACTGTTGGTTACCAGAGGAGGGAGGGATGAGGGGGGGGTTTTATATAGATGAAGGGAATTAAAGGCATAAACTTCCAGTTAGAAAATAAGTAAGTCACAAGTATGTAATGTACAGCATAGAGAATACGGTCAATAATATTCTAATAACTTTGGTGACAGATGGTAAGTAGACTCATGGGGACCATTTCATAATGTATACAAACAGAGTTACCATGACATCACCTGAAACTAACAGGATATTGTACGTGAATTATACTTTGGGTAAAGATTCAATTGTATCTCTATAAATCTGTAATAATCCAAAATTGAAATAAAGAAAATGCCATTCATAATGACACCATAAAAAATAAAGTCCTTAGGAATCAGTTTAGCAAAGGACGCTCAAAATTTATACTCTGAAAATTACAAAACACTGTTGAAATTAAGGAATGTCTAAATAAATGGGCAAACATCCCATATTCATGGATCAGAAGGCCTAAGGTGGTTCAGAAAGCACTCCCCAAACTGATCTAAGGCTTCCTTGCTATTCCTATCAGAATCCTGACTACTTCTTTGTAAAAATTGATAGGCTACTTCTAAAATTCGTATGCAATTACAAGGGACCCAGAATAGTCAAAGCAACCTTGAAAATGTAGAATCCATTAGGACTCACACTTTAACAAATTCCAGTGTAGTTAAAAGTGTTGTATTTTCAGGCATACAGTGTAAGTGAGTCAATGCTTCTAAATCGCTCAGTGCTCCTCAAGAAAAGTGTACTTGGCCCTTCACCTACTTCCCCCATCCCCTGGCCACCTCCCCTCAGGTACATATTTGTTCTCTATAGTTAGGAGGAGTCTTTTTTGGTTTGTCTCTTTTCCTTTTTTAAATTCCACATAGGAGTGAAATCCTATGGTGTCTTTCTTAGTTCAGTTAGCGTATCCTCTAGCTCCATCCACATCATTGCAAATGGCAAGATTTCTTTTTTTATGGCTGAATAATATCCCATTGAATATATATACACCATTTTCTTTATCCATTCATCAGGCAATGGATATTGCCTGATGATTGCCTGAGTCTACTTACCATGCTGCTTCCATAGTTTGGCTATTGTAAATAATGCTGCAATAAACATAGGGGTGCATGTATCCCTTTGAATTCGTGCTTTTGTCTTTTTTGAGTAAATACCTAGTAGTGCAATTGCTGGGTTGTAGGATGGCTCTACCTTTAACTTTCTGAGGAAACTCCACACTGTTTCCCGGAGTGGCTGCACCAGCTTGCATTTCCACCAACAGTGCATGAGGGTTCCTTTCTCCACATCCTCCCAACAGCTGTTGTTCCCCGTTTTGTTAATTTTAGCCATTCTGACAGGTGTGAGGTGGTACCTCATTGTGGTTTTGATTTGCATTTCCCTGATGATGAGTGCTATTGCGTATCTTTTCATGTGTCTGTTGGCCCTCTGGATGTCTTCTTAGGAGAAATGTCTGTTCATGTCTTCTGCCCATTTTCAAACTGTAAGTTTTTTTTTTGTGTGTGTTGAGTAAGTTCTTTATATACTTTAGACACTAATCCTTTATTGGATATATCATCTGCAAGTATCTCCACCCATTCTGCAGGCTTTTAGTTTTGTTGGCTGTTTCCCTCACCGTGCAGAAGCTTTTTATTTTGATGTAGTCTAGGACTCACACTTTCTAACTTCAAATGTCCTACAAAGCAACAAGCAAGAAACAGAGGGATACTGAGCCCAGAAATAACCCCAGACATCTGTGGCCAACTGAGTTTCAACCAAGGTGCCAAGACCATACAATGAGAAAAGAACTATCTTCCCACTAATGGTGTTGGGATAACTGGAGAGTCACATGCAAAAGGATGAAGTTGACACTAAGCACGTAACAAATACAAAAATTAACTCAAAATAGGTAATAACCTAAGGTCAAGATGATAGAATTCTTGGAAGAAAACGGGCATACTTTCAGGACCTAGATTCACCAAAGGATTTTTGGATATGACCCTCCAAAGCACAAGCAAAAGACAAAAGAGCGGACCTCCCAGAAACTTAAATCTTTTGTTGCTGCAAGGTCGCCATCCAGAAAGTGAAAATACAACCCACAAAATGGGAATAAGCATTTGCAAATCCTTTCTCCAACAAGGGACTGGCTTCTACAACATACTCTTACAACTCAGACGACCTAAGTGAAACCGAGACACAGAATCGGAATAGGCATTCCTCCAAAGATGACGCCAATGGACAGTAAGCACGGGTGAGGATGAAGAGATCACTGGTTGTCGTGGAAACGCACATCAAGCCGGCTAGAACGAAGACGTGCTCCCCAGCACTAGCCACGGGGAGACGCACCAACTTCTGGAATCCTAGCCACATCTGTGAGGACACCGCATGGCGAGCATGGGGGGGACCTCAGGGCTCCTCACTCTGCTGGTGGGAACGTCGGACGACAGTGACAGCCGAGCTCCTGGGTGTTTATCTGAGGACTGGGGTCCCGCCATCCTTGTGGGTGGGGCTGAGCCATCTAACTGCAGGGGCAGGGCAGGACCCGCACAGGGAACACTCGCATGAGCCCCGGGAGCTAGTGCAGATCCAGCCAGAGGGCCATGTGGTCAGATTCCTCTATAGGAAGCTCTTGAAGCCAGGGTAGGAATGGAACGGGGGTGGCAGCCAGCGAGGGGGAGGCGTGGGTATAGAGAGCACAGGGGTCCTGTCCGGGGACTCCCATCCCCGTCAGCGTCCTGGTGTGACACCTGCCAGTGCTACGAGAGGTCACCAATGAGGAAACTGGGAGGACACAGATACCATGTCCCTTCTCATGAGTGCAAAGGGACCGGAGCGTCTCCCGTGGAGGCCGGTGGTCCTGAGCAGTGCACAGGACGAGCTCGTGTGTCCTCAGCGGGCCCTCCCAGAGGCCCTGGCACCTGCCCACGGCAGTCCTTCACCGTGGCATGTCCTCCTGGCTCCCGCACCTTGCTCGGGCCACCGTGGCTGTGCCCTCCCACCTGGTGATGGATGGCCACCAGCCTGCGCGAACGTGTCCGACAGCTCCCGTTAACCCCCACACCCGGGTGAGCTGTGAGTTTCGGGAAGAGACCCCTCTGGAGGTGTGGTGAATGGCTGGCCTGGGGACCCAGGGTGGAGGTGGCGCTTCTCCCCAGCTCCCTCCCCCACCCTGAGCTGCGGGGGGCGGGCAAACAGCAGTGGTCACCCTCTTGTCTGCTCCACCTACGAAGTCTCCAGCGAGGGACTGGGAGGGAGACAGACTGTCCTTCCCAGCGTCTGGTGGTGTGGTGGCTAAGGAGGCTCAGGGTGCTCGGGCACATGACACCAGGGCCCCTGGCCTGGCTGGGACGGCGGGAGGGGTGGTGAGCCCCGCTCTGTCAGCTGAGCGCACTTTCTTCTGCTCTGCACCTAGTGCCTCCTGTCAGCTCGGCTCCTCGGGGTCCCCGCTCCCGAGACCACAGGCAGGAGAACCTCCCAGGACGACTGTGCTCAGTACCCACACCGCCACGAGAACCCCAAGCCACATTCTCAAAACCCAGGGGCCTGCCCAGGAAGGTCCTCATGGCCCCAAGGCTGGAAGCGTGGGGCTCGATCCGTGCTGACTGTGCGTGTGCGGCCAGGACCAAGGCCCAGGGAAGGCAGAAGCGGGGACGGGCCAGCCACGTGGACAGCAGAGCGGAGGGCGGTGATGGGGACAAAGGCCGGGACGCCTCCTGGTTGAAAACCGGAATCACAGGTTTATTGCCCACGGGAGGCAGGAGCTGCCGGCAAGCTCGCACACGTCCGAGTGGCCCTGGTCAGGCCTTGGGGGAGCCCGGCCCCCACGAACGCGGTCCACGGCTCAGGACGGTCACTTGGCCAGCTCCTCTGCCACAGCTTTCCGCATCTTGTCCTTCAGGTAGGCACCTTTCTGCCACTCAGACCTGAGTTCCTGCCACTCGTAGTACGGGACCTGCGGGGAGGGCGTGGGGGCCCCGGCTCTGCCCACTGTTCTGCACCCACACCCCTGGCTCCCAAGCCCACGGACCTGTGGGACTGTGCCCAGGAAAGATGCCCCACTTTCCTCAGCGCTCAGAGCTACAGGGCCCTCACCCCTGCGGCCAGGGATCCCAGAGTCCGTGGCACCCCAGAACAACTTTTTAATTTTTAAAGATTGTTAAGAACAGAAACCACCCCCCCCCCAGATGTAAATGTGACCAAACCGTCACACGGTAAGGACCACTCCCGTGTCCTCTGGCCTGTATGGGACAGCGCGCTCTGGGGCTGGTGTGCAGACCTGGTCTGCAAGGCCCTGAGTGGATCCCAGAAGCTGCGGCCTGAAATACCACCTTCCGAGCTTCCCTTTCTCCCATGGGAAGGGGGGACCCCGGCATGGCCAGCCTCCGGGGCTGGGCCCCGACGGTACTCACGTCCACCACCAGGAAGCCAGCGGCCCGCACGTGGCGCCGGGCCAGCGCAAAGCGCCCCAGCAAGTCTCGGCTCCGGCTGCCGTAGTTGGGGAACTCCCAGCGCAGGAAGGCCAGCCTGGTGGGGAAGGGGCATGGAGCTCGAGCGGAGCGTGCTCCCTGGGGCCCTCGGGGCGGGGGGGGGGCCGGAGAAGCTGCGCGACTGCCTACCTCTTGGCCCCGGGGGGCAGCGGCTGACTCCCGGAGGGCGGGGTGAGATGAGGGGCCACGAAGTCCCTGGGGGGCAGGAACTGGCTTTCGGGGTCCAGCAGCACCTCGGCGTCTAGGGAGGCGTGTGGGTGCACATGTTGGGGATCGTCCCTGGGGGCATAAGGCCCTCCTCACAGCAGCCCCGTGGCCGCCAGCAGGGGGAGTGTGGGGAGGGCCTCACCCAGGACCCAGCCGTACTGCGTGGGCACCATGAAGCTGCCCCTGCTGCTGTCCCCCAGCAGCCCCTTCAGCGTGTCCTGCAGCTCCTTCTGCAAGGGGGTCACCTTCCCGTCGAGGGCTGAGAGTCTGGGGACCAGGGCTGAGGCCGGCAGATGGGGGCCGGTGTACTCCGGGTGCTCCAGATGGGCGCTAGCATTGATGTGGAGCAGCTTCTGGAAGGTGCTCTGATCCTTCGGGGACCTGCCCTCTGAGGGAGAGGACAGCGCGAGAAGAGCGGGTGAGCTGAGGGTGGCACCGGGGCGGAGGGACATGCGGGGCAGGTGGGGGACAGTGGCACCCCGCCCCCGCGCTGCCCCCTGAACTACATGCGTCAGCAGGAGGGGGTCTGTGGGCCGCCCACAGGAAGGGGGCAGAGCGGCAGGCAATGCCCGGGGAGCTCAGGGGGCTGCGCGGGCTCAGCATCACGCAGGAGAGGAGGGGACAGCCCGCCGCTCACCTAGGAACTGGGTGCACAGGCCAGGGCGCAGCACGGCCCGCAGGTCTGTCTCCCGCACCCGCTGCAGCACGCACAGGGCCCACACCGCGTCCACCTGCAGGGCTGGGTGCAGGCCCGTCAGCGCTGGGCCCAGCTTCTCGTGAACCTGGGTGACGACAGGGCGGGCGAAGGGGGCTTCCCTCAGCGGCCGCCAACATCCCCGGGTCAGCAGCGCTCAGGGCTCCCGAATGACTTGGCCACACTGAGGCCCGAGGCAGCTACAGGGGATCCCTGCTGACGCTCTCGGCCAGGCTTGGGGCAGCCCTTCGTAGACAGTACCAGAAACCCTCCTCGGCACCCAGGGCCAACCCGGACAGCACGACCTTCAGCTGGATGTCCTGCGGCCCCTCCCAGCAGCAAGTCTGTGCCCCGAAATCACGTCTCTCTTAACACGGCGAGCGGGCCCGAGGCCGGGGACATGTTTCTGGCCGCGAGGGGAGTTGGAGACTACGAAAGGGGCCGCAGCTGGCCCGCTGGGGTGGTGCCACATGGAGGCCCAGGGTCAAAGCCGGTGCACCCGCGGGACGCCTCACCCCTGCGTGGATGCACTCTGCACGGTGGCCCGCACAGCACACAGCCCCACCAGCAGGTCACAGCGTCAGCGGGGCGTTCGGGAAGCCCCAGGAACGGAGACCAGGGGTCCCCCACCCCTGACTGTGCGGCGAGTGAGCCGGCTGACACGTCCTGACCAGCAGCTGTTCCGGGCCACACAGCAGGCGTGGGGGATGGCACGTCTTTGGTCCCCAGACAAGGTGTGCCGTGTGGCCCCAGCCAGCCCCCATGCAGAAGTCCGGCCTGAAGCTGCGCCCAGGGGCCCTGCGGCAGCCGGCAGCCCGAGGGAAGAGGAGGGGGGAGCAGGGGTGCACAGAGCGTACCAGGCGGAAGAACTGGTCCTCCCGTTCCGGACGGAAGTTCAGATGCGCGAAGGCCAGGAGCACGTTGCACAAGTACGGCACCGGGACGGTCTGGGCTCTGTCCAGGACGTGCTGGGCCGGCCACGTGCGGTGGAGCACAGCGTGAGATGGACCCGTCCCTCCCACAGGGCCCGGGACCCCCTAGACCTTCCCTGGCGGCAGCTGCCATCCCCCAGAGGCTGGGACCCCGGAGAGCCGCCCAGCACAGCCTCAAGCAGCTGCGCGGCCCGGCCGTCCCTACCGCTCCCTGCGACAGCCACCCAAAGACATAGGTTCCTCCGAAGGTCAGTGAGAGGACAGAGGACGCCGTCCTCACCCATACCGTCTGCAGCACCCAATGACCCGAGGAGGAACCCCCGATCCGCAACCAGGCAGTGTGTCTGGCCGGCCGGGCCTCCCCAATGGAAGGGGCAGGGAACCCACTCCTTGAGGGGGTCAGGCCCATAGGGCCGTTCCAGCCCAGGCTGCAGGGCTCTGCCCGCTCACCTGGACGAAGGCCTCAAACAGGGGCCCGCTGAGCCACTTGAGGAGGGCGAAGGACTTGGCGCAGCGGGCCACCTCGCCCGACGTCAGGCTGGGCGTGTGGGGTAGCAGGTCGGCAGCCAGGCGCTGGAACACCTGGGGCTGCTGGAAGCCGAGTTTGCCTTCGGGACAGAGCGAGCCGAGGATTCACTCGGCGAGGGTCGGCAGGCCGCCCCGGGAGCCACCCAGCCACCCCAGCCTGGCCTCGAGGTCTGGGGGTGAGGTGTCCGTGACCAAATTTATCCCTGAGACCCAGCACGGGGGATCAGGGCCCATGGGTCACAGCGTTTCTGTGGCAGCCTTTTGGGCCGGTGCGAGCCACGGGGTGGGCAGGCACCGAATTCGACACAGCTGCGGCCAGAGCGCCCTCTCCCCCCACTGCTCCCAGTGGCAGGGGCTCACCGTAGGCGTACGCCAGGTCCAAGAGGATGCATTTCGTCAGGGGGAAGGGCTTCTGGACCAGGTGATAAGAGATGGCTCGCAGCAAGGGCACGGAGCGCCGGTTCTGAGCGGCCAGCGTCACCAGCACCTTCCGCAGCTCGTCGGGGCCGAACTGTTCTACCAGCTCCAGGCACTGTCAATCACAGCCGGCAGGGGTCAGCTGGACGGCCGAGGCCAGGGCTCCCAGGCAGCGCTGTGCGGCCCCTGTGGGACAGCGACTGGACCTGAGCTCACTAACCCCGGGCCCCGGCCGCGTGGAGCCTGCCTCGGCTCCCAGCTGGGGAACCCCGGGGCCCGGGGCGCCCTGTCTGCAGCCAGACTTATCCCCAGGTCCCAGCGCAGGGGGACCCGGGGCCCATGAGCTGCAGGGCTTGATGTGGCAGCCATCTGGGCCAGCGCCCGCTACGATGGGAACAGGGGCTGAATTTGACTTGACTGCGGGCTGCGGGTGGGGGCACGACATCACCAGGAAGCACCAGCCTGGAGCCGGGCCACCGGCCGGCCCAGGTCCCGCACAGAAGGTGGTTTTAGAGAAGACGAGGCACGCCAGGCTCATCAGCGTGGCCACAGAGCGTGCCTGCGGCTGCCCGGGCCCCCTGCCCCAGTACCTTGTCCTCCAGGCGGGTCATCAGTGGCTCCGAGAGGGGCCCCGTCTTCGCCATCATGGCCACCACCGTGCGGCCGTCTTCGATTTCTGCCCAGCGCCGCTCCAGGTGCAGGAGCAGCTCGGCCAGCAGCTCCTGGGAGCCCCGCTCCTGCATGTAGGTGGCGCTGGACTCCGCCAGGAAGGCCAGGTGCTTGTACCTGAGTCTGCGCAGGCGCCACCGGACCTCCTGCTCCACCGACTGCAGCTCCTTGCAGGCCGCCGGGAGCGCCAGCGCGTAGAGGCTCCGCAGCAGCCTCACGAGGGGCCCGTGCCAGACGGAGGCTATCTGGGCGGGGAGGACACAGGGAAGTCACACCCGAGGCCCGACCTGCCCTGCGCCAGGGGTCTGGGCTGGAAGCTGCCTGCCCAGCACGGCCCCCCGCCCCACCCCACCGGCTGTCGGGCCACCTGCACCCAAGAGCTCCGCCTGAGAGGGGCAACTCCCCCCGGCTTTCCCCAACGCAGATTCCACGGACGTGGCCGGTTACACAGAGACCTGGCCACGGATCTGCGCGGTGGGCACGCCTGACGAGTGCCCGTCTCGCACGCGCAGACCCGAACCCAAGCAAGCCGTCGAGTCCAGAAGTCAGGGGAAAGCCTGGGGCTGACTCAGGGTCACGTTCTGTCAACCCGCTGGTTCCTTTGCTGGCAGTGACGGGACGATCGTTAGCTGTCAGACACGCTGACTTTTCTTGGGCAAACAGCTGCTCCACCGAGTCTGAGAAGCCCCTAAGCCCCGTGTTTCCAGGCCTCAGACATGCACGGGGGCCCCTCCAGCACAGCCCACAGCCTCGCAGAGCCACCACAGGGGAGCCAGGACCCGGGCGTTCACGGGGGGGGCTCTGTCGGCGGCACTGAGCCTCTAACTCTGCCCCTTCCGGTGGGGCCGCTCCCTGCATCTGTGAAATGGGACCACAAAGAGGGAGCGGAGCGCAAACGGGAGCCAGTGAAGGGCTGGGAGGCCAGCCAGGGCAGACTTTGAGTCCGTGTCAGGAAACCTGATGCCTGCACCTGCGCGTCTCCTGGACGGCACGGTGACTTTTATTTTTTTTAATTTTTATTTATTTATTTATTTATTTATTTATTTATTTTAAAGATTTATTTATTTGAGAGATCGAGAATGAGAGAGAGTACATGAGAGGGGGGAGGGTCAGAGGGAGAAGCAGACTCCCCGCAGAGCAGGGAGCCCGATGCGGGACTCGATCCCGGGACTCCAGGATCATGACCTGAGCCGAAGGCAGTTGCTTAACCAACTGAGCTACCCAGGCGCCCAGGCACGGTGACTTTTAAAAGGAGGCTTGGTCATCGTTCACATTGTACTTTGTTCCCGGGCCGTTCTGGCTTATAGACTCATTACAACATTCCCTCTCATCTCCTAAAACGTGCTTCAGTTACCTGCATGTGTGCCAAATACTCAATAAATAACAATCAAGATCACAGTCTCAGAACAAGGGGCTCGGTAAGGGATTAGGTCAACGGCGTCAAAGAGAATTGACCTTCTGTCGTGACCCCAGTGCACGCACACGTTTCACCGAGACAGAAAGCTCCGTGACACGATACTTCCCTTACCGCGCGCATTCCGGCATTTTCTGTCAGCCTATCTTGTTAAAAAACAGCCAGCCACGCCCACTGCTTTCTCGGCCTGCAGTCCAGAAACCCCACCCTTGAACTGTGAACCTCCTCCTCGTCACCTCTGACGACTGGATACAAGGCTCTGGTGCTCAGTGACAGAAGCACGGCTTCTTCCCTCCAGCACGGAGCAGGGGAGGGAATGTGGGCTGACGAGGCCAGAGCCAACAGCTGGTGTGCCCCGCCCCCCAGTGCCACACAGACAGGTCCCCCCTTCTCTCTGTGCTCACAGGTAAGGATCTGACCGGCTGGATGATGGCTGCGCTCAGCCCAGCTGTCTGGCACCCTCCATCAGCCCCTCGGCATCTCCTCCAGCATCAGGGGCATGCCCACTGTGAGCCAGACACTGGAGGGGAGCCACCCAAGTCAGACCGGCCTGGCCAGGGAAAAAGCACCCCGGAAATGGAGAAGGATGAGCTCGCTTCCCGTGCGTCCATTTTCACGTCCCATTTGCTGCTTGGAAGAGAAGGACAGCAATATTCACCTACCGGGGCTGTGAGCAGGATTAATGAGAATAAAGACTCTACAAAATGAAAAACCACAGAATGTGGAGAACTAAGCAGGTGGCAGAGTTCCTGCCTACAGAAAGCGACTGGCTGCTCTGGACTCCAATGCCACTGTTTTCTGCCCACTGAATCCTCAGAGAACATTCTAGAAACCCACCTGGCTGTCGACAAGCTGGAGAAGCTGCTGAAAGCGGGCATCCCGCATGAGCGAGGCCTTGTACTCTGGCTTGTCAGAGAGCAGGCGAGAAAGCTGGATGAGCATGAGGGCTGCGTGGTTCTCGTGCAGGTGGTGACCACCACCGAGCAGCTCCAGGAGCTCCTCTGGCCGGGTGGCCTTCCTAATGAGCTGGTCCACCTCTTGCTGCTCTGGCCTGGTGGTGAACACCTGTTCCTTCTCTAAGAGCCCCGACAAGGAGCCTGGGAAGTGGGAACTGGGCGAGGTAGCTGAGGAAGTCAGAGTCCTGGGGGCGACCTGGGTAAGTCTCAGTCGGCCAACTGGAGCCACAGCAGGGGCCACAAGGGTGGCCTCCCTCAGGAGGCATGTGCACCGTTTCACCAGGCGAGCCGCCATGACGGGGCAGGGGCGGGGGCGGAGGCAGGTACGACTGCTAACAAGTGGTCCCACAGCCCTGAAGAGACAGAGGAGAGAGCGGGGTGATGCAGGCAGTGCTCCTGACTCCCAGACAGGGGAGCCGGCCAGATGAGACCACGGCCACTCTCTGCACACCGGCAGGAACCGCTCCTTTCTGCCTGTCCCCGGGCACACCAGTGCGTTCTGAGGCAAAAGCTCACAGGCTTTTCGTCTCAGCGCAGAATGTGACCAAATACGCAGACGCAGCAGCGTTACAGCTTGGGCTGCGCAGTGTCAGTCCTGGCTGTGCTTGGAACCACCTAGTCCGACAGCCCGGACCCCCAGGCCCAGCCCAGAGGCCTCCCGGTGGGGCTCTGCGCGCATCCACTCCCTTACTTCGAAAGCACCCAGGATTAAGAATCGCTGACTCGCAGAGACGCGGGACGAGACGCTTTACGTCAGACGGCTCGTGGAAAGCCAGGACGTGCAACCCACATCCCACAACTTCACAGCGGAACGACCCCCCTGCAGCACACTCCCACCTCCCGCAGGCCCAGCAGCTCTCCCTCTTGCCCCCGACACCACGGGACCCCGGACACCAGCCTTCATGCCTCCACACCCAGGCGAGACGTTACCTCCAAGGACCCGTCACGCATCCTGCTGCTGTGGCCTCTAACCGCTCGGACCGTCTCGCACAGCAGGGCGAGCCAATGGCCGGCGCACGGCAAGTGCCCGGGCCTCCCCTCCTGCAAAGCAGAGCGCGCGTTCAACCGTCGATTTCCCGGAACTTGGCAACCGGAACTCACTCGCTCACCAGCGCATCGCAGCTCTAAGACCCTCGGTCTGATCACCGAAAAGCGGAGGCTCCGGAGGGACACGGACCAAAGGCAACGTCCCCCAGCCACGGCGCCCCGGAAGCGGGGCCGCCGGGGCCGCTCCCCACGGAAGACAGCCCTGCGGGCCACGGAGGGAGCGGAGGTCCGGAGGCCCCACTGGGGTTAGGCGAACACCAGCCCAAAGCCCGGCCTTCGGGGGCAGACAGAACACCCGCACACGGGCCCGCGGGCCACCACGCAGGATGGCGGCGGAGGAGCGCGTGCGCACGCTCGGGCCGGTTCCCCGCCTCCAGCCCCAGGACCCCGACCCCCCGCAACCCGGCGCGCCCTCCAGCCCTCAGGACCCACGCCCAGAATCCCCCTCCCCACCGGCACCGGACATACGCAGCAGCCGGGAGGGCTACCGCTGACCTCCATGCGTCCCCGCACCGTCCCCAGCTCACGCCGCGCGGCGCGCTCGCTACGTCACTCGGAGCGCCGCCGGAAGCAAGCCTAGCCGCCGTCCGCCCGACCGGAAGTCATTCCCGCAACCCTTTCCGGCCGGGTGCCATCTTTGCTGAGGGCAGGCAGCCGGAAGCCACGCTGGCTGCTCCTTTCCGGCCGGGTGCCATCTTTGCTGAGGGCACAAACTAGAAAGTGGGAAGTAGGGGAGTGAGAGACGGGTGCTGGGCAGTTCAGGAAACGTGGGAAGGGAGAAGAACGAGGCGCCCGGGAGCCGGGGCTGAAGGCTGGGCGCTCTGCCGCCCCGCCCTGCAGCCCGCCCCGGGTCCCCGTGAGGAGCGGCTGCCGGTGGAGACGGTGCCCGGCCGAGGTCGTGCAGAAATGCAGGCGCGGTGTGCCTGCGTCCTGCCAGGGTTTCTGTTTTCTCTAGAATTGTGGAATTGGCGTGCAGTCTCTGGCTTGTAGGTGTGACCGTGTAGTTGTGGAAAGACTGAAGTGCGGGGAAGCGGAGCCCCGCGCACCTGAGGTCCGTGCGCGCTTACTGTCCCTTTGCGCCGCGCTCTCCCGGCTCCGTGCAGGTCGCCCCGGCCTGTGGTCGTCGGATTGCGGCTCCCGGCGTCCGTCAGAGTCCAGCGCCTCTCCCCGGAGCGCGCCCCGCCTGCCTCGGTCTCTCTAGCCGCTCCTACACATCGGGTGGGTCCGGCGTCGGCGGGGACCCCCGTTCCCGGGGACAGTCGGGGGGTCTCCCCGGGGGCCATCGGCGTGGTCCCTTCCATCCCGGGGGCCGTCTGCGGGGTCCCCCCTTCCCGGGGCCGTCGGCGGGGTCCCCCCTTCCCGGGGACAGTCTGCGGGGTCCCCCCTTCCCGGGGCCGTCGGCGGGGTCTCCCCTTCCCGGGG